CCGACTAAAGAATCAAGGCATAGTAAAATATTTTTAAATTCTAATTTGAGTTATTTATGATTATTTTGCTAAAACCAAAATCATCATATTTATCATCCACATTTAAAATGAATATCTTCATAAGTGATGAAGTAATTGTATGTTTCTATGTGATTTTGATCTTTACAACAGTGCCGTGTCATGCTCTGCCTACTTAAGCTGATATCTGATGGAACTATGTGGATGTAAATGCCTAGGCTGAGATGTGAGGGTCCCTACAAGCTCTGTGGGTGAATAATGATACTGTCTACTTAAGTGTTGTACATTAAAGCTGCACAATCCAACTTCATAAACTGTGTGTGATTGTGGTCTGCTTACTTCTTACTTCCATTCATTTTTCTCTAGTGCTCATCCCACTGTAGAACTCACGCAATGATTGCCCATGGCTCGATTGGCCACCTTCAATTTGCAGCCACCCTTTTCCATTCGTCGGAGAAAGGACACTGTCAAAAGTTAACGTCTTTGTACGAGTCGTACACGTTCAAGTCAATACGAGCTTGCCCAGAATGTCTCAGGATCCCTATACGGGTTATTGTCAGGCCAGGAAATGAAGCCACCTTCCACCTCTCCACAAACTGAACAGTCAGAGAAACTTTTAACTGCACACTGTCAACATTGTGGAAACTGTTGGAGTAGATTCTGTGGCAGACATTATCTTAGTGCTAAGGGAAAAAATAGAGAAGTAATCTTCCAAATTAGGGCAAATGTCTTTTTTAAGGAAATGACTGTGTCCTTTTAAGTCATCAGCATCTTGTATAATATAATGAACCTGTTGCATTTTTTCATCTAAAAAAAAAACATGGACCAGCTTTCTTATGGCCTATTTTAGTTACTTTGAATTCCTTCACTTAAATTTTCCATTTATATGTCTTTAATCCCCCCTCCCATTCGATTTGATGCCTAATTTGCAGTAGGCCTTCAAGAACTCTTTGAGTGAATGATGGCATGTCAACAGGCTTGTGATATATTGTTCAATTAGCAACTGATTCTGCAGCTTTGAAACCATTCCCAACCTTAGTGGCACCTCCGATGTTCAAGTAAATATTGCTAATGAAACTTTTTTTTAGTATGGTACTGTAGATAGATTTAACTTGATACCAAAATTACGTGGGCTTTTTTTTTCCAGCCCCGTCATAGTGGAAATCCCTCACTTTGGGTCCATGAGAGGAAAGGAGAGAGAACTCATTGTTCTTCGAAGTGAAAATGGAGAGACCTGGAAGGAGCATCAGTTTGACAGCAGAAACGAAGACTTGACAGAGTTACTGAATGGCATGGAGGAAGGTACGGCCGGTGGGGCCCCTTGATGCCGAGGATGTCTGTAGAAGGCAGAGGACTGACCAGGCCTCGTGGGGCACTGCTTGCACTTCCCACATTGGCATTCTCAGGGGGATCTGAGCTCTTCAGCATTGACTGTTCTTTTCTATACCCGTGGCCTGACCTCGCATTGACTCATTAATGACATCCCCCCACCCCAATACACACAGGTCAGATGGGCAAATATCCTGGAAGATTCTTTAAGTTTTGAACCAAGTTTATTAAACTTTCTAAAACCAAAGAAGGTTTTTTAAAGTCCAAAGAGTAAGACGAAGGTTAAAGAACAAGAACAAAACCCAGTGGGTATCTACTGCATTTCTTCACAGAATGAGCATTTATGTTTATTTTTAGAATTGCATTTCCAGGCACTTCTGCTCGGTTTCCCACTAGCCTCCTTCAGTACCCTTCAAGAACTTTGACTGTCTTTTGGCTTATAGTAAGTTTAAAAAAAAATAAGTTTCAAAAATTGTTGGAACCTGTGTTGTTTCCATGTCTTATTCTTTGAACCAGTAAGGCTGGTGTGCAGCTGATCAGACCTCCTCATACACACCTTCCCCTTGGAATGACCTAGAGGCTTTCAGATAGTGTTGGCAGGCAGCTCAGGCTGGCTTTGAGTGCACTGTGTAGTAGAGGATGACCTTGAACTCCTGATCCTCTGGCCTCCACCACTTAAGTGCTAGGATTATATGTGTGTGTACTACATGCCTGGCTTACATACCTTCCTGAGGTCATATGACCTTAGAACCATAGCAGAGTTTCTTAGTAGATACTGGGAATAGACTTGACTTAAGAGTACATGTTTGGGGCTGGAGAGATGACTCTGTGGTTAAGAGCACTGGCTGTTCTTGTGGAGGACCTGGGTTTGATTCCCAGCACCCACATGGTGGCTAACAACCATCTATAACTCCAGTTCCAGGGCATCCAGCACCCTCTTCTGACCTCCATAGGCACTGAATGACACACATGCAGGGAATACACCCAGACACATATAATTTAAAAAATAATAAATAAAATATTTTTAAAAGAGTACATGTTTGATGCAGATGTCTTTGAAACATATTAAAAAAAAATGGAGACCTAGCTCATGAAATCAGGTGCTTTAGAGAGAAATACCAGCTAATCTTTACTTTGTACTTAATTCCTAATCACTACAGATTCAGCAGTTGTTTTAAGTAAGAGTTGCACTCCATTCCATAAGATTGGCTCTTTTCTCATTTAATTTACTGACTTTGGAATGCATCTGGCAGGGCCTCAGGTGGGTTCAAGGTCTGAGCAATGGAGTGAGACAGACTTGGTGTTAAAGGATGACCTGAGCAAGTCCCTAGATCCCTGTGAGTGCCAAATGCCTTCCCTACGTTACCGAGTTACTGTTCGGAAACATAACTAGCTATGTGAAGTACTTGTGAGATGCTGTCCTTATCCCATAGTAAGATCCTGATAAACATCAGTCACTATCACCGTTATTTTCATCTGTAGAAAAAAATGCCAAAAATTTGGTATAGGGTTCAGTTACCATCAACCATGCATTTTCAAAAATGCCCACGTATACCAGGTGTGGTGATGCAGACTTTTAATCCCAGCACTTGTAAGGCAGAGGCAGGTGGGTCTTTGTGACATCAAGGCCAGCCTGGTCTACATAGCGAGTTCCAGGCCAGCTGGGACTATAGGAAGACACTGTCTCTCAAAAAAAGAAAGAAAGAAAGGAAGGAAGAAAAAAAGCCTATGTACCAAAGTAGAAAGAAACTATTGATACTGATAAATGCTTTATTTTGAAAGAAAACAGCCCACAGGCTAAATTCAGAGAAGTCAAGTAACTAATCTAGTTTTACCTGTTTTCGGAGAGTTACAGCTGGGTCCCACTTGTTTTTAAAATTTGTGTCCTGTGAGAAAGAAACTTAGACTACAGTGGAAAATTCTACAAACCCCTAGATTTGGTCTAGATGAGATTTGGTCAAGATTAAGCAGAACAGTCATTGTAAGAGTTACACGTTTAATGAATATGCATTAGCTAAGGGATGTACATATACTGATAGGCAGGTAGAGTTTCTTTACTACATTTTTAAAGACCATCCAACACAGTTTAAAGGAAATGTAAATACTTGCACATTTAACAAATCAAGCCCTGGGTTGGAAAGATGGCTCAGCAGTTAAGAGCACTGACAGCTCTTGCAGAGGATCCTGGTTTGATTCCCAGCACCCACTTGGTAGCTAACAACCATCCAGAACTCCAGTTCCAGGGGATTCAATGCCTTCTCCTGACCTCGTCAAGCATTGCATAACAGGAATACAATTATACACTTGCAGGCAATACATGTATACACAGAAAGTATAAAATTAAAATAAGTGAAATTTAGAGTATCTATTTTTTTTTAAAAAAAGGAATCAAATCCTAGAAGCCATTGCAGCAAAAACAAATTGTTCATGTATTAAATATAATTATTAGCAAAATGATAAAGGAGAAACCACAACATATCTATAATTGAGGCTCAGTCATAGGTTAATCTGATTTCATACCAAGCTCAAGCCCCACTTCCTACAGCTCTTCTCTGATCCCCAAAGACACTTCATTGTCTTAGGAATATCTCTAGCTCCAAAGCCACTTAGAAGTATAAATCAACATATTGTTTGAAAGGGCCAACCTGCCCTTTTCCTTGAAGGTTTCACTGGTCCAGGTTCTCCTGGGGAGGGAAGGCAGCAGCTGGCAGGAAATCTGTGACCAGAAAGAATCATCAGCGCCCTCCTGAGGAGGCAGTGCTGTATGGTTAGGTACCAGAAACCCACACTCAACCCAGTGATTCCTCTGGTGAAAGTGGACTGCCTCCAGGACCGCACATCCAAAAACCATGTCAAAAACCATAGATGCAAAAACAGCTCCACTGTGTGCCCATCCCCTTTCTTGATCATGAGTAATTGTTACAATAAAAGTAATGCACAATGGGGCTGGAGAGATGGCTCAGTGGTTAAGAACACTGTTTGTTCTTGCAGAAGACCCAAGTTCAAATCCCAGCACCCACATGGCAGCTAACACCTGTCAGTAACTCCAGTCCCAGGGGATCTGACAGCCTCTTCTGTCCTCCGCGGGCACTTATCTACACGCAGGCAATACATGCATACACATAAAAAAAGTAATAAAAGAAAAGAAAAAGAAAAAGACTCAGGGAGTTCTAAAGGGAGGCTCCTTAAGACTCAGGAAGCAAACAGCTCACAGGTCTCAGGGAGTTCCTAAAACTTACCAGATTTACATGGTACCTCCCTCCCCAAGGTTGCTTTAAGTAGTAAGTGAGGAAGGAGGAGGCTCGCTGACCTGTTGAGCTGCCTATAAGAATCACTCAGGATTCCCTTAAGAAAAAAATTGAGTCATTTTACCATTATTGTATTCAACCTGATTTTCATTAGTTCATTAACTAAGGTTAGATGTCACATGTTGTCTAATGGAAAGTGACCCCAATAATGCCTGCCTTATTCAAATATCTCTTTTAAATATTTTATATATTATTTTTATGTGTATGAATGTATTGCCTGCATGTACATAAGTGCAACCGTGTTGTGCAATGCCGACAGAAGAGGGTGTTGGATCCCCTGGAACTGGATTACAGACAGTTGTTAGCTGCCATACGAGTGCTAGGATTTGAACCCATGTCTTCTGCAAGAATAGCCAGTGCTCTTGACCGCTGGGCCATCTCTCCAGGCCCTAAATGTCTCCTTTTAAGCTCCCTTCTTCACAAGTGAATTCCTTGTATTTTTTCAGTCTATATGCTAAAAAATAGTCTTACTATATACTCTGGTCTGAAAAATCTTAATACCAGTCTGTGTAATAATATCTCAGCCAATATTTCAATCTACGGTTTTTACTAAGCGAGACAGTTCCAGAGGAGGGAGGAGAGCTTAGTTTATAAAGCACTTGCCATGCAGGAGTGAGGACTAGAGTTTGGAGCCCAGAAGCCAGTCAGGGATGGCAGCTGCCTGTAATCCCAGCACTCAGGAGACAAAGCCAGAATCCGCGGGGCAAGCTGGCCAGCCAGAATAGCCGGAATTGGCAAACTCCAGGTTCAGCAAGAGACCGTGCCTCAGTAAAATGAAGTGGAGAGCAATATGAGATGTCCATGAGCCTGTGGGGACCAGGGAGTGGACTGTGGGTGATCTGAGTGAGAAATGTGTGTGTGCAGGAATGCATGTGGCGGGGGGCGGCCAGGGGAGGCCATCGCTATCATGCTCTGCTTTATTCCCTTGGCACAAGGGTTGGTGCTTCCCACTTTTCAGTCTGATTGACCAGAAAGGCCCAGAATTCCTCCTGCCTCATTCCCCAACCCATGTACTGGGGTTATAGGTGTGCTGAGCTTTTTAGGTGAGTACTGGGTATCCAAATTAGGGGCTCATGCTTGCACAGCAAGTGCTGCCATCTGCCCAGCCACCTTCACAGCCGGCTTCTGTCGTTCTTCGACCAGCTTCAGGGGTTATGGGACTGAAGCAGGACCGTTAGGGGAGCTCTGCTGCGGTTAGGGGCTGGAACGACACAGTGTTCAGTGTGTCACCAGGTTTCCAGTGGCAGAAGCAGCTCTTCTCTCTGGTGGTTGTGCCTTTGGTCTGTCTTTGCAGAGGAAAAGAAGAGGCTGCAGACGAGAAAACAGAAATCACCCCATCACCAAACAGCCCCAAACCGAATCCACATTGTCAGTTCAGTGAAAGCCTGACTTTTAAACTCACAATGTTGAATTAAACATTTTCAAAATTGTGCCTCCAAAGTTAGATCGCAAGAGTTGCTTTGCAGTTTGCAGTGCGTCAAAGTCGCAGGCAATTGTTAGAAGGATCCTTTCTCCAATCACAGCATTTAGAAACGCCGCGTCTCGCCACTGTCCCCTACAGCAGCTGCATATGACTGTAGTGCAGTTAAAGTGGGGCTGCTACAAAGTGAAAATGGTACAAGCTTACACGACCACTTACAGGAACAATACCACCCTCATCTAGTT